TCGCGCCTCTTGCATGCGTGGCCCTAGCTAGTTGATCAAAAATTAATATTTCTGTGATAGATCATAGATTACCTCATGATGAGCAGACCTCTATTGAAGATTAGTTAGTTGTAAAGTACTCCATTTGAAGAAATATCATTAATACGTACATGAACGTTTAACTATTTGCATAAATAGCCCCATAAGATATATCTCTCAACAATATATATCTCATTTCTAGTCAATACCGATCAATTGAGGGGGTCCTGGCCGGCCTTCATTAAATTCAAATCAATTAGATCATATCTCAATTATAATAATCTCCCAACATGTCACCCTCGTTGAAGGGGCCAGTGGATGGATTACTTGAATATATAAGACGTATATATATATATGGGCCCAATCATTTTCAAGTGAGAACGCTTGACACAAAAGCTTGAGCCCACTTCCTCTTCTTTCTAATTGCCATTTGATCCCCCTGTTCTTAAGTTATTTCGTATTTATAATTCCCTTAATATATAGCTACAACTACTCTTAATTGGAGGGACTAATTCCAATGATCCGAGGGAATTATCCAAGATATGAAAGATCAAGGGACTAATATTGAAAAAAAAATGAAACTAAAAGTAATTGTACCAGAAATATATTTAATTGAGATGAAAGCTAGTCGTGTATTATTTACAGAAAAAGATCGAGTTGTGGGCCCGTGGAAGAGAACGACTAATTAGTGACTAAGTTATGAGTACATGGATGAAAAATATTAAGTGCCGCAGCTAACTAATTAGCTAATATTATATATTTTCTCGATCATCCCCAGTTAACAAGAAATTAAGCCTTCTTGTACGTTTTTTCCACGGACTATATCTTTTACTTTTGGCAAAGGGTTAATGAAGAGGGGTTAAAGAGAAGGATTAATGTACTTAGCCCATTTGATAATCCGAAGGACTAAATTATTAACCCGTTAAATAAGTTTTATTTTAGCCCTTATGATCAGTTTTAGTGTTTAGGAATAACAATGATTTTGACTATTTTCTTTATAATTAGAAGGGTTAACTCTTATTCCATCTAAATAGGAGTATTAGTAAACCCCTTATTTTGAGGGGTTAACTCATTTTAACCCCTCTAGAGGGGTTAACTTAACCCTTCTCTATTTTTTATGCTTGGCAAATTATGAAGGGTTAACTCACTTTAACATTTATATAGATTTGTTGTGTTTGGCAGGTTAAGAAGGGGTTAAGTCTCCTTAACCCCTCTCTTAACCCTTTGCCAAACGGTACCTTAGGGTATGAAGTCAAATAGTAAAGTCCCTAGGGAAATCATTTTTAGGTGTCGTGGGTTTGCATTTCGGCCAAAAATGTAAGGATTTTCGTGATTACCATTTTAAGTTATTCTAGCCCCCCATGTTTCTCTTTAATTATTTGGAATTGTGGCAATTTGTGATGGATTTTTATTTAATGTTTTAATTTTAACTTCCTTTGCATTTAATAATAAAATTGTGAAATGAGGTCATCGTCATATTTTATCACTTTTTGAGTGATGTAGTAAGTTAATTGTATTAAACTAGACCATCTGCAAGTTGACCCAAACAATTGATTGCTTGGGTCAACTCTCAAGTTGAGCATCTCTCCGCTATTTATTCACCTTCAACCCAGCAACCATTAATTTGTATCAGAGAGAGAGAGAGAGAGAGAGATGGAAGAACAGCAAAGAGAGGTCATTGACTTGCAGTCGACGATCGAAGCTATGCATGAGATCAGTGAAGGAGAGAGGGAGGGAGGGAGAGAGTTAGAAGAACAGCAAAGATGGGTCATTGACTTGCAATCGAAGATCGGAACTATTAACTACGAAAGAGAGGTCGAGATCCAGAGTAAGAAGTGCATCTACAGGGTGCCCAGGATCCTGAGGGACCTCAACGAGGATGCCTACACACCCCAGCTCATCTCTTTCGGACCGTATCACCACGGCAAGGCCCACCTGAAGCTGATGGAGAGCTACAACCTTGCCCAGTACCTCGAGCGGGCCAATAGGAGTCTGGCCCAGGTGGCGGAGGCCTTCAGGCCCGTGGTCCAGGATCTTATGGATGCCTATGACGACCTGGAAGAGCCATGGTCGACCGACAATGAGAGGTTCCTGGAGCTGATGATCCTTGATGGTTGCTGCTTACTGAAACTTATTATCCACGACTTTGGGATACCAGAGGTGGAGAGGTCATACATGTTAACTGCCACGTGGATGGACCCACGGAGGCTGGAGAACCAGCTCCCACTTCTTGTCCTGGCCATCCTCATAGAAATGGGTGGCCATGAGGTAACTCATGCATGCATGTTTTTTGGGGGTATGATTTTTTCCTAAATATATATATATATATATATATATATATATATATATATATATATATATATATATAATAATATATATATAATATATATATATGAGAAATATGGGATCTGGTACGCAAGCATAATTTTGTGCTCGTAGTGATGTGTCAAATCCTCATCCACTCATTACCATATGTGAATGTGGTGCCCGATATTTGAATGAGTGGTAGGGAGATGTGACACCTCACTACCAAGCACAACTTTTTATGCTTGGTACCAAACATACCCATATTTCTATATATATATATATATATATATATATATATATATATATATATATATATATATATATATATATATGTGTGTGTGTGTGTAACCGAATGTTTATATATGAAGTGATATTGCACTAGAACTTGTACTTTTACCGTACTTATTATTTTTAGAGTTAATATATAGATGGCTGATCGATCATCTATAGGTTGAGTATTCTGAGAAAATCTTCGATGATCTTGGCTACGTCCCGGGAGAACAGCGAACCATTAGAGGGATGGGCCACCATTGGCTCGACATGGAAAGGAGGGCTAACACTAATTCTGGAGACTACTTCTATGACCCTAAATGGACCGTCCGCTCCGCCGTGGAGCTCTTCCAGGCAGGGGTGAGCTTCAAACCAAGTCAAACCCGCTGCTATAGCGACATCAGCTTCAAAAATGGAGTCCTCTATCTCCCTATTCAAACCTGGTACACTAATGCTGAGTCACACCTCCTCAATAGCATTGCCTTCGAGAACATTCACAATGGTACAAGCGAAGCAACAACTCATCATGTCTTTCTTATGGATAATATCATCGACACAGACAAAGACGTGGCGTTGCTCAAAGAGAAAGGGATAATCAGTTGCACGACAGGAAGCAACAGCGAAATCGCTTCCCTCTTCAATCGCCTCACCAAGGAATTGCCAGTGCCCTCGGAACCTGCTGGTACTATACATATAACTAATGTGAACAAGAACTTGGAAAATTACTGCAATAAGAGGTGGAATAAGTGGCGTGCCAGCTTCATGCAAACTTACCTTGCCAATCCTTGGGTGTTTTCCCCACTTGTGGCCGCATTTGTCCTCCTGGTATTGACTATACTCCAGACGACGTACACAATCCTACCTTACTACCACCACGTCTTGACTCCCAACGGCTTTGATCAGGTTTCATATGCAAGGGAATAAAAAGACAGCAACAATAAGCAACGTTCGAGCTACAGCATGAAGGGAGTTGGAAGATATAAGGCGGAGAACATGTGGTCAATGAATTATTAAGCAAAAGATTTATCAAGAAATGTACTTTATTGTCTTATATTCCCTACATTATAATTGTGACCAGTTTGATATTCTCTTTAATTTTCAATGTGCATGAAATATACATCTTGGATTCTCCCCATGACTTGTCCAAATACAGCTGATGAATACTATACGTGATCTTAATTAGTTACCATTCGCCTTTCCCACATCTCCGGAGTTGGAATCTTTATCAATAACATCTTTCAAGATTTTGTCAGCAACATATATAGAGTCGAATGCATGGGGGGCTCACACACCGCAAGCTCCTCCCACTTACCATCATCCATCATCACCGGCTTTCTGTCCTTCCCCTTAAATCTTTTTGCCGCCTTATTGAGTAAGAACGTCTTTCGCCCTTCTTTGCCAAAGGGTAAAGCTCCATTTTCCATTAAACTTCTCAACGATGAAATTGTTAACATTCATCATCATCCTTCTTTGCCAAAGGGTAAGGCTCCTTTTCCATTAAACTTCTCAACGATGAAATTGTTAACATTCATCATCATCCTTCTTTGCCAAAGGGTAAAGCTCCCTTTTCCATTAAACTTCTCAACGATGAAATTGTTAACATTCATCATCATCGTTGCTCCTCATATCTCACTCTGAACCTCTAGTTTTGACACCAATTATCGGGGATAAACTCCCTCTCTATCGAGATTGAGCCCGCAAGACCGCAAGCCCTCCTTACCCTAATATGCACCGTGGAAACAAATGTGAAATCAACTTAGTGCAAAACTCAGTTTTGTGGATAAGAAAAATAACAAGATAGATAGATGTAAGTCGATACAAGAGATTTACATGGTTTAGCAAAACCGCCTACGTCCACGACCATGAGCTACCTATTCTTCACTTCTTTGAGAGAATACTAGAGAATTACAATTGAATTACTAACCGACATGAGCCCGCATCACCATTTTCCCCCCTCTCATTGTGCATCTCCACAAAGGCTCACAAACCTCTTTAAATCATATATAAACGAGTCTTACCCTCCAAGCTTTATTGTCCAAACTCGTTCAACAATCTTTTGAGTGATTTGCTCACCAAACTATGCTAGACTTCAACACCCAAACCTCTTAAGAGAGATGGACTAGCAACAAAAAATACCAATTTGGTAATTAACCAATAAAAACTATATCGTACTTCACCGAAGCCATCCTATGTATACAAAATCATATAGAGAAGGAGACTTCTACAGATCCTGCGTTCAATGTCTTCCTCAGTTGCTCAATGGATTTGATATATAGACATATTATCATTTCCTGTGACTAATATTAATAAACATAACGTTTGTTAATGGTTATTTCCATTAAACGTCTGTTCCATCCAAGGCAAATGATTCATGGACATGGAGACAACTCCTTAAAGTGAGAGATATGTTGTTGCACAAGTTTGGTAGTGTTGACAATATTGAGGCTGCCATAACTAAATGTTATGCTGATGATAAACTCCAATTATCTGCTGTTTACAAGTCTCTTATCCAGCCTTCAATTATAGTGCCCTGGGCTAAAACTGTATGGGATAGTTTTCTATATCCTAAACATTCTTTCATATTGTGGCTAGTTTGTCATTCAAGACTTCTCACCAAGGATAGATTGTGCCGAATGGGAATCCTGAGCACCAATCAGACTCACTGTGTCATGTGTAATAGACAGGAACTGGAGACGAGTAGCCACGTTTTCTTTGAATGTCAATTTTCAGCTGAAGTCTGGAATTTAGTGATGGAATGGCTGAGATATAGATGGAGGTCATGTGTATGGAGTTTGGTTTTGAACTGGTATTCATGTAATTTGAAAGGAAAAGGCCCTATGAAGAAATTGAAGAGGATGTGTTTATCCACTGCAGTGTATATGATCTGGAAGGAGAGAAATCGGAGAATCTTTCAAGGCAAATTGAGGCTCCCTGCTCAGATTCTTAGTGATATCAAGTTTTCAGTTTTTGCAAAAGTTCATAATGATACTTCAAATGTACATATGAAAAATATTCTTGAGAACCTGTAATTTTTTTTGGTTTCCAGATTTTCTGCACTTAGCTGTACTTCCCATTCACAATTTGGATAATGAATAAAATTAAGTTCATTGACCGAAAAAAAAAAAAAAACAAGCATTAGAAAAAAGAAAAAAGAAAAAAACGCCGGTTCATTTGTACTCTTCTCTGAATCTTTAAATTAACTAAATGGTTGAAGTATAAGGGAGACTTCGCTCCACAACATCATGCATGCTCATATTCCACTTCGATTAACGAAGTGGTTTAGGAATTAGGACCGGAGCAAACGGATAAGACAAATGACCCAAAGTGCTGCAGATACCACACAACTAATGATCACATCTTAAAAGAGTGCTTCGTGTTCAAGGCAGTGAAATTAAGAACAATGAGGTTACCCTCAATGACTCGGAGAAGAGACCACAACAGCTGCACTGGTGCTTGCGGGCTTCGATGAAAAGGTGCACTCCTCAGTAAAAATGGAAGATTACTCAAAACTTTCCACCTTAGAATTTGAAGTCACAAGTAATGACCCAAAAGATAAGAAAAGGCCTATTTAAGAATTGTTGATGTTAATAATAAAAAATAATAGGGCTGAGGTTGATTAGGGGCCGATCACTTCTTCGAATATCTGGTTTTGAGTTGAGTAGCTTCAATCTGCACAAATAGCAATTCGTGAGAGGACGGAGACTAGTTCCCCCGTTGTTCCTCCGACGATCAAGTCGGTTGATGAACTTGAGTGGGAAAGTGATGAACTGTGTGAGTTCTAAAGAATAGAGAATTGGAATTCCGAGAGATTGCTTGCTTACCATTTGGAAAAGTACCTCTTCTTATACTGGTAGAAAAATGGTAGAATGGTAATCTTAACCGAGCACAGGATGGCGGCAAACGAGTATGGACTAGCGGCTACGTCAGCACCTACTTTACAGGTGTTGATCGATAAGCGGAGAAGATGTCACCTCTGTTGTGCGCCGCGGAAGCCCCAAATAGACAAATACAAAAGCACACACAAGAACAATAGTAGACCACAAGTGAACACAAGCTAACCAATCACAGCAAGAACACAAGATATACGTGGTTCGGCAATGTGCCTACGTCCACGGGGCAAGGAGGGGGAAGCTTTACTAATGAAATCAAAGGAGAATACAAATTAGGGTTACAAATCTTACCCAAAACCCTCAAACAAGACCACTTGATCTCTCCAATAGACTCCAACAATAGAAGCCCTCAAAATCTCCTTTCAGCAGCTCAAAATCACCAAAGCTTAACCCTAGAAACGAGTTTAGGGTTTAAATACAACTCACAAACGAAACGGGTCTGGAAACAGAACCCAACTGAAACCCGCAGCGTCGGTCGACCGGACCGGTCGACCGCGATCCATGTCGGTCGACCGGACCGGTCGACCGCCCTCCATCCAGAAGCCAACCAAAATTCCAGAGAGTTCGTCGGTCGACCGACCCGGTCGACCGACACCAATGCTGAAGCCCAGTGAACTGAGCCGACACCAAAGCACCCCCAATCAACTCAACCGGCTGCATCTGCAAGACTGCCTACGTATCCTCTTGCCCAAGGAATCAAGCAGAACGTAGTTCATCCAAATGGCCGCCAACGACCTCAACAATGAAGAATATTTAACAATTTCAAACAATGACCAAACTTCACACCTGGTACGACTTTGGTCAACATATCAGCAGGGTTGTCCTTAGTGTGGACCTTCTCCAACGTGACATCACCATCATCCAATACATCACGTACAAAGTGAAATCTGACATCAATGTGCTTCGTGCGTGCATGGTAGACTTGGTTCTTCGCCAAATAGATAGCTGACATACTATCATAATATACCTGAATGGTCTTCTGTGCAATCCCCAAATCATCCAACAAGCCATGTAGCCACAAAGCCTCCTTCACTGCTTCAGTCACCGCCATATATTCCGCCTCTGTAGTAGAAAACGTCACTGTAGACTGAAGAGTACATCTCTAACACATCGGTGCACTAGCCAATGTAAAAACATAACCTGTAGTGGACCGACGCTTGTCAAGATCTCCGGCATAGTCTGAATCCACGTAGCCAATACAATCCTGCCCTGTCTCATCATTCTTCGCAAATATCAACCCAACATCCACGGTACCCTTAATATACCGTAGAATCCACTTCACGGCCTCCCAATGCCCCTTCCCGGGGTTGTGCATGTACCTAGATACCATGCTCACGGCCTGTGACAAATCTGGCCTAGTACACACCATAGCATACATCAAGCTACCCACTGCGCTGGCGTATGGAACTTTGGACATGTAGTCCCTATCCTCCACTGAAACTGGTGACATCAAGGCTGAAAGCTTAAAGTGGGGAGCTAATGGAGTACTCACCACCTTGGTATTACCCTCAAAACTAAATTTCTTCAGCATCTTCTGCAAGTAACTCCTATGTGTAAGCTTCAATCTCCCCTTCACCCTGTCTCGCTCAATCTCCATACCCAATATCTTCTTAGCTTCTCCCAGGTCCTTCATCTCAAATTCAGATGACAGCTTCTTTTTTAATTTCCCAATAGCTGAAGTGTTCCTGGAAGCTATGAGCATATCATCAACATACAATAACAAATAAATGTGCTCACCATCCTGTAGCTTGCGCATATAAACACACGGGTCATAAGGGCTCCTCGTGTACCCTCGGCCAATCATAAAGCTATCAAATCTCTTGTACCACTGTCGCGGTGATTGCTTCAGTCAATAAAGAGATTTCTTCAATTTGCACACCAACCTCGGCATTAAATGCGAAGTGATTGGGGGCATAGCGGTGCTGACGTGGTCCGATGAGTCATGAAGACTATCGGGGCTAGGGGAATGATGGCGCCTGCCAAGCATTTAATACGACGCCGACGTACTGTCAGTGGGTGAGGCTTGAGGTTAAAGTCGTCCTTTGGCTTGGCCAAGAAGTAACGCCTCTCGAGTCAACCCCGCAAGGTGTCGAATAATTGGTCGAGTGGGCTGTAGTGAGTCGTCTTCGACAAGATGACCGACAAGTACCACCCTTCGAGTCGACCCATGAAGATGTCGACTCGACGAGTCGGTTAAGTCGAGATCCTTGATTTTAACCGTCAATTTGATTTGAGCGGTGCATGTAGGGGGACACGTCCGTTGTTAGCAAAGGGCTGCACTTTGGTGGCTTTAAACACCATAACAGATCCCATGACATTAGATGAGGCAGAAAGGTGTTAAGTTCTCTTATTTTAGTTTTAATGGCATTCATTTATAACGGTGGAGATGAACTCTATTTTGGCAAAATTTCCTTCCGTGTTTACGTTTTCTTAGTGTGCTTAAGATTACTAAGAAATTTGAAACCTTGGAAGGGGAATAGCCAAGTTACCCAAGAAGATGAATAAAAAAAAGGCCAAGTACGTCGTTTACATTTAATACCATAAAGGGTCACGAGTCACAATCCCACCTTCGACAAAATGCACATTCGACGAAATGATCATGTGCATGCTCAAACGTACACACATAATTTTGTTATTTTTGCAAATTAACAGAGGAGTTGAACCTTCCCTACGAGATCAGTTCTCTTTAGCCCCACATCCTCTAGAGCAAGTGTATATGAAAACAGAAACTTGGATAGTGGGAGATTATAGAGAGGTCTATGCTTTTTCAACCCATGTTATTGGCATAATCTAACATCACCTTCAACAACTGAAAGCTCTTCTAAAATACAAAATATCCACAATTTACCCTAAAATAGAGACTTGCAGCTTTAACAGCATCAAGTCAAAACTGAAATACAATATTCAGTAGAAATCACTTCCGTTCACTTCCGGCTAGAACACAGTTTATAAGTTTCACTGTCATTGAAATATTTCAAAATACAATATATACCATCTATGATGTATGCATATTCTGCAGACCTAGAATAGTAACCAGTTAAATACAGAAAGTGAGCATGCTCCATATACAGCAGAATCTGAGGTTAAACGGTTAATTTACACATAATTAAAGAAGAAATAGACATCAGTAAATTTAAGTAATTACTGGTATACAACAATTTACATTTATTCTAAGGATACTCATAATAGATATACGATTAACAGATACGACAGAAATTTTTAGCAATTACAAATTCACTGTTCCTCTTTGCTTTGGAAAAAAATCAATCCTGGTGATTCCCAAACTCTCACTTCGGATACAGCAGTACGGAATAGCTCTTATTTCAAAGTTAAAGATCAGAATCTGCACAATAAAATTCATATTAGAAATTTACCTGCTATCGCATTGCAGCTCCAAAGATGGGCTTAGACAAACCTTGTATCGAAATATCAATTGCTCATATCGACAATATTTTAAGAAAAAATGTCATAGCTGAAGCAGGGGGAAAAAAATTGAACTCCTACGCTGCTGAGTAATCTGGATAGCACTCGAATCATAAAAGAAATTTTACACGTCATGTATCATAGGATAAAGATCACATCTATGCTGGACTACTCTAAATGGCTGGAAGGATCTATAGCGCGCCAAATAATCATTATTTAAGGGAAATTGTCCAGTTACTGACATTTATCAAAAATCAATGTCTAATTCCTGGCTGCCAGGTTGTTTTGATTTTCTTTTCCGTCTAACGGTGTCAAAGGACCTTGCTACTACACCAAAACTCCAAAGTTGTGGTGAGGGTTGTGAGATATAATTTTATATGTTAATAGGCCCCCTCGGGTTGAGGATCCTTTTATGGGCTGCAACGTGGACTCACAAGGCAGTATCCATTTTCTTTTAAAATTAGACTTAAATTTCAGGCTAATAAGACTCGAACCTGGGTGGCTCTAATACCATACGAAAGGCCTGCAACTGTACCAAAACTCCGAAATTATGGTGAGAATTCAAGGTTATATTTTTATATTCTAACAAGTGAATCTACATTGCCGCTTTCTCCTGAAGCAAACAAGCAACCAATTGGGGAAATTATCTTGCCCCGTCATTTATCAAAAATTAAGTTCTTTGACCGATATGCTTTACCAAACTGAGCTGACTTGATGCGTTATGATTAGGTATATCCTACAGCTTTAAATATTGCTTAAAGATAAATATTGCTTAAAGATCCCGTAAATGGATTTCGTATGTAAGAACTTAATAAAATATTTGCTATATCTGGGGGACATGTCAAGACCTGAAAAATCAAGGATGGATGTTCTTTACCTAGGGCGGTCGGAGTCCTAACATCCCAACCTCACCTTGCCCCCCACCTAGGGCTGTCGGAGCTCCTCTTCGACGGCCATGTGGGCATGGCGGACCCTCCTGGTCCCATACCTAACCACAACCCCTCTTCCTCGAGAGCTCAGCCCCAGCCGAAAAATCCCCAAACTCGTAATCCTTCAAGCTCTCGCCATGGCCCATCCCATCCTCCTCCCCTCCCAAAACCCTTCATCCCTTCTTCAGCCAACCCCTCCGCCCCAGGAGTCGGCGCAGCTCCATCCCACCCCGTCAGGGATTCTAATCCCACCCCTGATGGTGAGAAAATATCATATGCTAACATTGTTGGAGACCCTTCAGGGCCAAGCTTCATCAGAGCCCATACAAAAGAGGTGATCCAGCTGTTAATTTCTCGCCTGAGGAGTTGCAAGCAGCTGAAGATATTTTTAAGGATGCAATTGTCATTAAATTCTCATCAGGTAAGCCTGTCATGGGAGGCATGCCATGCTGCTGTGAATTCTTGGGGACTCAAACAGGAGTTCATTATGGGCCCTTTGGCCTCGAACGATTCTCCTCAGATTCAGAGAACACAGTGATATGCTCGCTGTTTTGGCTCGTGAATCAACTTATATCAAAGGCTTTCCATATAGAGCCTACAGATGGAATCGACTGTATAATGTGGAGGATGCTGCTTTTGCTCCAGTTTGGGTGTCATTTCCTCGCCTCCCCATCCCATTCTATGTCCCCTCCATACTGCGAGGAATTGCCAAAAGCATAGGCAATGTGTTACGTTTCGATCGAGCAACCACTCTTATGACTCGAGCGAGTGCTGCAAAAGTGTGCATTGAAGTCGATTTGAGGAAGAAGCTCCCATCCCATGTGTGGGTGGGAGTTCAGGGCAAGTTTCACCAACCAATAATCTGTGAAAAACTTCCCAAATTTTGCAACTTCTGCAAGACACAAGGATATTCAGTTGAAAAATGCAAGAAAATTCCTATTGACAAGTCAAACCTTGTCAACCATGGGGTATATGAACCTTTGATTCACAATGGGAACTCTACCCCAATGGGAGTTCCTCAAAATACTGATTTTGTAGCTGCTCAAGATGCACCTGAGGACACAGTGGCGGTTTAGCGGTTGGACTCCAATGCTAACCCTCTTACCATTTCCTCAAAAGAGGCCAACGCAAATCCTGATATATTGGTTGAGAATTGCAGTTTCCGTCACAACCAGCATACTCTGATAACTACAAACTCAAGAGAGCATGTAGGCGGGGCTGCTATTAAAGCTCCTCGTGACAACCAGCAAACTCGGATTGATCCTACTAATCCCTCAGGAGCTCAAGAAGACCTGGATGCTCACCAAGGTGCTCGTCAACATGAGGCAACTCCAAGGGTTCATCCTCGCCATCAAGCTCCTCCCCCCAATCATTCTGGAAAAATGAAATGTAATGATCCTAGAGGAATTGTCGTGGATGATATACATGCTTGTATGAATGATTCTACGAATCAGCAGCCCCCAAGTCCCCCACGGCATTGCTGCGTTCAGCTAATGGTGCATGCACGACAAATGTTCGACGTAATGCCGTAGAGAGTTTCCCAACAGCGGATAGTCTCCCTGTGGCTACTGGGCGCACAATCGTTGACAGCTCAGTCCTTCACCATTCTTCGACACACATAGCTGATAATAAGCTCTGTTCAGCTGAAGATAAATAGCGCAATCATAAGAAAGCTAAGGCCATGTCTATAATGCAACACCTAAATGTAGAGGATGATGATCAGTTCTGGACATTGGTCCACAATCAAGCTACAGAGCTGAAAAAGTCAAGGCGCAATGCTAAAACCATCACTACGCAGGATAGCAATGATGAAGCCTCAGAATCGGAGTACACTACACAGAAAAAAGGTAAAGAACCTATGGGAACTAGCTCAACCAACTCATTTGCGGCTCTCCAGGATAGACAAGCTGACAATGATGATTGCTCTGTCACAATTGAGTCATGTGATTCTGATACGGAGGAGGGACACATTGAACCCCTAGACATGGGACATCATTCAGCTGATGAACGATCATGCCCTGTGTACAACAAGCACAGCAAATCTAATAGGTCGAAAATTAACAAACGCCTCCCCAACATTCCTCTCAATGTTAGGTTTCGAGCAAGGAAGGGCCCCTCCCCTTCAACCCCCTGATCATTATGAATACAGTCCACAACAATGTGAATATCATTTTTTGGAACGCTCATGGCGTTGGTAATCCTAATACTTTTGGCTTTTGTAGACAACTTTTTTCAGCACATAGGCCCTCGATGTTTATTATTATAGAGCCTACTGTGAAAGATAAATATATTAGAAAATTTCACTTCTTTTAAAACAAGAACTAGTTATTCAATGAAGATATAGAGGGGAATATTTGGATCCTTTGATGGAATGAAGTATCAGTGTCGCTCCTCCACGAAACCAAGCAATGTAATACAGTCTCAGCAACAATAATGGGGTCTTCTGTCACTATTTCGGCTCTTTATGGGAAATATACTGTTAGGGGTAGAAGGGAATTGTGGGATCATCTCCGACATATCTCTCCTTTCATACAAGGAAATTGGCTTTGGGGAGGAGACTTTAATACCATTAGATACACTGCAGAAAGGATTGGTGGTGCTCAACCTCAACCAAAGGCTATGGAGGAGTTTAATTCCTGTATTGATGATTGCAACATGGTCTCAATTCCATCTTTTGGTGGGCACTTCACCTGGTGCAACAACTTCGAGGGTCCTATGAGAATGTGGTAAGTTCTCAACAGAGTGCTGCAATCTCATGATCTTCTAGCCACGAGCAGAATATCATCTCAACTCTTACTAAGGGAGTTTTCTGATCACTGTCCTATTCTACTTTCCTATAATATGAATGTTTACAAAGGCCCTAAACTTTGGTGATTTCAGTGCATGTGGACCACCCATCCAGAATTCAAAGCTATTGTGCACAAAGTTTGTGCACAATCTTTTGATGACTCTCCATTGATGGACCTTCATCTCAAACTGAAACTGCTCAGGTCTTGGCTCAAGACATGGAATTTTGCATCCTTTGGCAACATATTTCAACGGCTATCTTCCTTTGAAGCTGAAATCAACTATATTGAAGGTAAGCTACAAAGTCAATGGGACACGACTACCTGTGAGACATTGAATAACTTACGTGTGCAGTGGCGACAAGCGTGCATTCAAGAGGAGATATTCTGGAAACAAAAAACTTGACTTAAATGGCTTCAAGAAGGGGATGCCAACTCTAAATTCTGCCATAGCATCACAAAAAGCAAATACACACAAGCGGCTATCTCATCTATAATGGATTCTCAAGGCAACACCATTCAGGGGGAAGAAGCTATTCATATTGCGGCCATTAACTTCATGTCCGAACTCCTATCTACTAAAAATCACTGTGTGGACAGCGAATACATTAAATTGATACCAAAATGCATATCAGAGGAGACGAATATCAGGCTCCTGAGGCCATTTGAAGCGGAGATCAAACTCGCTATCTTCTCGATCCCCCAGGATAGCGTAGCAGGGATGGATGGGTACTCATCGACCTTTTTCATTTATATGTGGGAGTTGGTGGCTCCATCTATATTGGCAGCGGCTAATGAATTCCTACAGGTCAAAGTCCTGCCCAAAGCATACTCCCACTCAGTGATTGTTCACATACCGAAAATCAACCACCCCAAGTCTTTTCAAGACTTCAGGCCAATAAGCCTACGCAACACTGTTTACAAAGTTATAGCAAAGGCCATTTGCAACAGATTAGCCCAAGTTCTCCCTCAGATTATATCACTCAACCAGAGAGCCTTCATTAAAGGCCGATGCATATCCGAAAATATTGCTTTGGCCCAGGAAATCAGTAGAGAGATTGACAAAAAAGGCAAACATCCTAATACCATACTCAACCTGGACATGCTAAAGGCATACGATCGCATGGAATGGGATTTCTTATTGGCGGTGTTGAAATAGTTTGGATTTGCTGAAGACTAGATCCAAGTTATCAAGGCATGCATTT